CTGAGGGAGAACTGGAGCCTGGAGCCGGAGCTGTGAGTTACAGAGCAGGGCAAGCAGTTCAGATTTCATTTGGGCATCATGCTTCTCTCCAGAGCTCACACATGGTGCTCGCCCGGCACTTGGGATTGGCCTCACGCTCCTCTCCAAGGACTGTCTTTTATCAAGGTGCTAAAGCCCGGGCAATCAACCACGTGCACGCAGCCGGGGCGCTCAGATCACTTGAAAGACGCGAGGCTGGATTTGGATGGGATTTGGTGTCCAGCCCAGCGGCTGTGCAGCCCTGCGCCCGCTCCATTTGCTCTTCTCCTTGGCTGTTTTGAGTTGCCTGGAAGACGCTCAGGTGGCCACACCGAGCCCCTCTGCAAACGGCGAGAGGTGGGCATCTCCGTGGTGAAACGGGATGGCGATGGAGGCGTGCGAAGTCCGTGGGTCAAACCCTCGGTGTGTCCAGCTCCTGAGCCCATGCTGAGACCCCAGGGACCACGTCTCTCCAGGCCACCTCCGCCTTCCCTCCCTCCCAACTCCAATTTGTTGAAGCCAGTTCATAGCTTTCAAGCTTTACAGCTTGATTTGTTTATTTTAGCTGTTATTTCATTGCTCTCTTCAGCCTATAAATTTCAAGGTCATCCTATGCTCGCCCTTGGATGAATAAACAAGCATGGCGGGGCCATGTGCGGGGAATAAACTCATCAGGGTGCTGGGACTGCCCCAGCCCTCGCTCTGTGCAGTGCCCAGCATCAGAGGGGAAGGGGACCCACCTCCGGATTGGGACCAGGGTGCTCCGCTTAGGCACCCGGGGGAGACCAGCCGAGAAGCACTGTCCACGGAGCCGCATGGGTGTCGCGAAGCCATGCTGTGGAAAAACGGGGCTCCCGGCAAGGTGCAATGCCCCAAAGGCTGCTGAGACACGTGGCCGGGGACAAGGGTGCCCGGCACTTGCTCCCAAGACCTTTGCGCCATGCTGAGCTACAGCACTGCTCTTCTGGGGCTGCCACGCTGGGGAGACCCCGTATTCGTAGCACGCTCTGCAGCCCTGGCCCCACTCCCCCAGCACTTTGGGCTCTGATTTTGCCCAAAAGAAGCCAATCTTTTTTTTTTTATTTTTAAAAAAGGTCAATTTTTTTCTGGGCAAGCCTCATCTAGGAGGCAGGGCAGCCAGTGCAGGCTGGCAGCACGGCGCGGGCTCGGCTCCCGGTGCCTGCACTGAGCTCCTCTCCTGCCACTTCACCCCCGATGCCAGCGCTGCCGGGCCGGTAACGTGTCACCCCCGGGCCGAGACGGGTGCTGGGGCTCACCACGAGGTGACAGACCCGGCAGCACGGGCCCAACTCCAGGTCACCGTCACCGCTAGCGCTGCGGGACAGATCTCAGCAGCCACGGTTGTGCTCAGCACCGCTCTCCTCCTCAGCAGCGATTTTTGCGGGACACGTAGCTAAACAGCCCGATTTTCCAGAGCCTGGCAACCTTGATCAGCAAGCGGGGTCCTGCCAGCCCTGGCAGCCCCTGGCAGAGCAACCACGCTGGCAGCCACCCTGCGCACTCGTGGCACTTGCAGAGATGCATTTAAGCACCCTTAAGGTCCCTTTAAGCACACTTAAGATCCTCAGGTTTCTTTAAGCCCTCCAGGATCCGGATGCTTAGGAAGCCAGAGTCAGAATTAAATTCAATATGCAAATTGCATAATTTATTATGTCCCTCCCAGCAGATCTTGTGCTGGACACAGGGCTGTCTGTTGGGTGCTTTGCTCTGGAAGTCACCGGATGAAAAGCCCTCAGCATCTCGTATCCACCTGCTGCCAACCCGGGGCCTCCCAAACCCAACCGCCAGTCCCTAAACATGGCTGATGGCGTTGGAAGGGATGGGAAAAGGATTTGAGCAGGAAGGGGTCGGCATGCACACGGCTGAGCCTCGGCGGTGTGGAAATGTCCCCGCCCAGGCACGATGCTTTGGGGATGACCAGGACACCGCATTCCCCAAACTCCTTCACCTTCTGCCATGGACGCGGGGACCGGTCTCACTGCCAGACGAGCGCGCGGTGACGGGGCCCACGCCCAGGCGAGCCAACACGCTGATACGTGACCCAGCCAAAATGCAATTCCTTGCACACGCAGTGGTTGTGCAAAGGTGACGGCTACCAGAACTCCCTGGCGAGCTCCCCCGAGCTACGGCCACGGCAGCGACGCGGCGCTGGCCCGGCACAGCCCTCACACTTACATCTGAGCCAGCGACCGGGAGGCGCAGCGCAGGGGTGGCTTGGTGCAATGCTTACGGGCAGGC